GAAGAAGAGGGAGAACGGTGCGACGATGCGATTCCGCACCCCCCTCCCCCTCCCCCCTCGTTCGAAAGATTCGCGAAACGCGCCGAAGCTCCCCCTCGCCCCCGTGTATTTAATCGGAATCGTCGGGAGGTAACGTTACGCACGGGGGCGGGAAGACGTGCGGGGAGGCGGGTGATTATCGGATAGTGAACGCGTCGCGGTGTGAAACACGGATTCCACCGCTTTATCGTAACGGATGCGCCTCTTCACGACCACTTAGGCCCGGCTTCGCCGAACGTCGCTTAACTTTGATCTCGGGTTTATTCACGTTTGTCTCTTCCTGAAGTAACCGTTGGAAAGAGACGACGAGCGAATTAAACTAATGGCGAATTCGGTTGTTTGCACCAGTGCGCGCTGAGTGCACCCTAAGGCTTGTTTACAGTCAATTCCTATGTTTAAGGATCGTCTCAAATATCTCTCGAAGTATAATTTCTTAGCCAGCAAAATGATCTGTATAGCATCCATACGGATCATCTTTTGGCTGAATGCTCTTCGAACATATATTTAAGGCAGAGTTAAGTATAAAAATTGACTATAGACTATAGACTATATAAGCTTAAAGTTAAGCGACGTTGGTGAAGCCTTAGGGTCAGTTTCGCAAACGTCGGTTAACTGCTAACCGAGGCTCGATTGATTCTGCGTCTCTTCTTAGGTCCAGTTTCACAAAAGTCGGTTAACTGTTAACCGGAGTTCAGTCGACTTCCTATCTTTCTCTATTTTGTTATCCAAGAAGAGACGGAGGATCAATTAACCATGGGTTAGCGGTAAAACGACATTTGTGAAACTGGCCCTTAGACAATAAGATAGAGGAGGATAAGGAATTGACTGAACTCTGGTCAACAGTTAACCGACGTTTATGAGACTGGCTCTTGGTTTTTCATTTGCTGGTTAAATGTTAACTAGAGGTTAGATCGATTATCTGTCTTTTCTTAGATAATAATATAGAAAAGGATAGAGGGTCGACCAACCTCTGGTTAACCTAAGCCTAACCGGAAAATGAAAAATCGGGCCTTAGGGGCCTCTTTCACCAGCCGACGGTTAAAATTTGCAGGATGCCAACAGAAAATAGAGGCGATTATCCCTTGCCTCTTTTTTTTCCGGGCGGCACCTCGCAAATTTTAACCGTCGGCTAATCTACTAATCTCAGGTTGGTGAAAGAGGCTCTTGGAATGTTGTGGAAGATGCGAGGGGCCTTCGTGCGTCTCTGGTCACTTTTGTACGGCCAGACTGCTGGGCGACGATAACATCCCTTTCTTTGCGGACACAGCGGGACGCCTTTGCCTCGCTGCTCTCCCTTTCGTTTCAGTTTTTCCCCCTCGCTGGAAGCGCATCCCGTCGGCCTGCCTTTTAAAATTGACAAATTATCCGTTTGCTTCCTCGTGCGCCTCCCCCCTCCCCGTCCTCTCGGACATTCTTCTCAAATTGATGAATGGAATGGGACTCCTTGAGATATCACACGTGGCTCCCGCGCCGACGTCCCGTGTCGACACGTGACTCAACTCTGCGACTTAAATGGCTCGACGGCGCTTAAGGGCCTGAGCGGAATGGCTGTTTTGTACCTTTAAAGGCCCGAAACACACGGAAGAACTTAAGTAAAACGTGCGGCTCAACCTGCGAAGGGCTATGGCTCCTGTATTTTTATGTGCTTCCACTTCCACTTCAAGGGTCTCAGCAGAATGGCTGTCTTACACTCTTAAGACAATGATTTATGTTTTAAAGTCTTTGTCTTGAGGTAACGCACAATAAAGGCCATTCTACAATTGCGTGGTTGTTAGCGGTTGTACAGTGTTGTAAAACACAAGCTGAACTCCATCTTTCACGACTACAACGATATAGAACGTAATGGCTAACCAATCAGAATTCTCTCACGTGTCCATACCGCTCTTATCAAACGCTGAACTGTACTCTGATTCGCTATCATTTACTTCAATTACGATGTATCTTACTCTATTGTATATTACATTGTTGTACAACATTTACTACCACTTCTACTCCTACAACCCTACAACTACGTTTACGCAATTGTAGAATGGCCTTTACTTTGTTGTACAACACTTACTACTACTTCTACTCCTACAACCCCTACAACTACGTTTACGCAATTGTAGAATGGCCTTAACTGTCTTGTGTCCCAAAAGTACAAGACAGCCATTCTGCTCAGGCCCTACGACATGAGAGAGTTATTGTGCGTTACCTCAAGACAAAGGCTTGAAACGTAAAACATTGTCTCAAGGCTGTCTTAAGAGTATAAGACAGCCATTCTGCTGGCCTGAGCTTTTACTCTTAAGACACAAGACAGTCATTGTGCGTCACTTCAAGATAGAAATTTAAGGCATAAAACACTCTTAAAAGTACCATTCTGCTAAGGCTCTTATTGTGCGTCACTTTCAGACAAAGATTTAAATCGCGAAACATTGGCCCGTATGCCGAACTCTCTGTTATCAATAAAAGCGCCTCTAAAAGTGGCTAATAAGTCTTCTGATTGCTACAAGCCACTTTTAGAGGCGCTTTTATCGATAAAAGAGGACTCGGAGTGCGAGCCCATTGTCTTAAGAGAGTTACGGCGAGAATTCACGGAAACGAGGAAGAGCGCGAATCGCGCAGCGGGGGACAGCGCGTGTCACGTAACACGCCGACCGGTGTTACGAAAACTCGCATTTAAAATCCTGCGATCCTTTCTGACGTAATGGATTCGCGGGGAAACGTATGGCGCACATGGGGGACGGACTTTAGGAAATGAGCGGGCTGAATGAAAATCTTTTCCGGCGCAGAGACGAGCCGCCGCGTGCAGTAAGCAACGCTTCCGCTCCCGGCGTGACTCATCGTCCAATTATTAAACAAACTCCGATAGTTCCTCAGCCGGTGTGTGTGCCGTTAATCTGCATAATGTGATAGAGTTGCGCGCTCAAACTCCACGCACAGAGAGGAAAGGGAGTAGCTCTCTCGCTGTCACGCAGTTAAGAGTTATCGTCGCGCGTTATCGGGCTCTCTTCATTCGAAGAGATTAAAGATGAAGCGTCAAGTGCTACGGAACGCCGCGAACGCGCCCGGCCACTCTCTTCCCCGTGTTACGTACGTTCCCGGCTTGCAATCGCCCGCCCCGCCGAGGTGCTCCTAATTAACGATCGGTTTATGTATGTATACAAATCGTCGGGCGGCGATGCCGCTTCCGAGTGTAAGGCCGATATGGCAGAGAGCAATCCGTAAGCGCTTAAGACTGTCTTAAGTCGTAGACGTCGAGAAAGTCTCTTGTATACGACTTGAGTTTTTCTCTGCCTTGTCTTATGCGTTGTCTGCAGTGAGACTTAAGAAAGCGACCTACCACAATCGAATGTGAGAAGGATAATCGACTGCGATTGGTCATTTTCTTAAATCTTACGTCCTTAAGATCTCATTGTAGACGCCGCATCAAGACAGTCTTGGTCCAAGTCTACAACAGAGATTTCAACTCTAAGCCTTAAGAAATTGACTAATCACAGTCGCGTATTCTACTCACACTTGACCGTGGTGGTCAATTTCTTAAGGCTTAGGGCTTAAATTATCTATTGTGGACTGGGACTAATTACCCGTTTACAATAGCGATTTAAACCCCAAGTCTTAAGAAATTGACTAATCACAATCGCGTATTCTACTCATGCTTGACTGTGGTTGGTCAATTTCTTAGGGCTTAGGGCTTGAATCATCTATTATAGACTGGGGCTAAGCGTTTACGGATCGTTCTCTGCCACCAGCCTATCCCTGCGACCGTGTCTGTGCCGTAAATTTCAATCGACATTACATCCACACGGATTGTTTACGTCACGCTGTACGGCGAATCTCTTTCACGTAGACGTTACAAGCAGTGTAAGTTATTATCAAATAACTCATTGACTGTTTTCGCTGTATTCTTCCAAACGGCCCTGAAAAAGTAGGAAGTGACTTCAATCTAGATTCAATTAGATGCATTTCAGTATTATATTCGTTAATTAACGCAGTTAATAAACTGCGCAGCGAGAGACGCTCGATACTAAAATAATAGATATATGTTATTTACGCCGATCTGATTTGTTGATTTTTCGCGGAGTGCAAAAAATTGTGCCCAGGTAATAATAACTGGGAATAAAGTTGCAAATAAAATTCCCGATATCTCTGACGAGATAGAGATGCTCGATGACCCACGGACTGCTCATTGTTTACATAACGTTGAAGTTTACATTGTATACGTGTAGCTGTAGATTATTACATTTTACGCGAAAACGCCTGGTCCTGCCTGCGACGATATCGCCCGGCGTTTAATGGGATTATAATGACAGGGGGGCGTGATATTGCTAATTTAGGGAAGCAAAGTCAAAGCATTATCGACAGCAAAAGAGACGGGAAGAGAAGGGACCGAGCCAGCGAGAGAAAGATTAAATGAGAGAGGGGGGGGGGGGACATTGCTCGCTCATATTTGTACCCTGCACTTGCGACAGTTTTTCTACTTTCATTGATTGTTTTTGCCCGCGCGTAGATACATTCACGAACGACACTGCCATTGATTCGCGCTTCGCGAGAGGCGGACTGTTTTCGAGGGATATTCCCTGACGCGCCGAGCCTACAGCGGAAGGTCGTGAAGAGCTACGCGTATGAAAATTGACAGTTAAATAAGCGAATAACGAGATCCCATCGACAAGATGGGATTGATTAAAGTTATTAGTCAGTTGACGAAATGCATTACAACGTAAAATGAAGGAGATTAAATGGATTTAATGTCGATTGGATCACTCACGAGTCATGAGCGTTTGTTTCCAACTCCGCTACGCACAACAAGTCACAGTTGAAGGGATCCACCGCGTCCAAGGTCCTTTTGCCATTTCTCGCGATCGGCTGTTTTTTTTTCCTTTTTATTTTCTGTCCTCGCAGGTTTTCCAATTGTCAGAAACGAATTGCAACGTGGGGGCGTCCCGGACGCCCGTTAGAACGCCCGAGGTCTCGGGCGATCGTAACAGACTTGTCGCCGGTGAATTCCAAACTCGAGGAATCTCGAAGGAGGCAGAATCATCGCCCCTTCTCTCCCTGCTGTGATTTCCGCGCGATAGCGAATTAATGGAGGAACCAATTTGCCTGTTGTTGCACAGAGCTCGGCTTCAACCGGCGGTACGGAGGGGTCTAGTCCTGCCTCCAGCCCTGCCTCGGCCGCGAGTCTCACGATGGCTGCGCCGAAATACGGTACGCTGGTTCCGAACCGTATTTTCGTCGGCGGCATCTCGGCCAGCACCAGCGAAGCGGAGCTGGCGCAAGTTTTCTCGGCCTACGGCAATGTCAAGGCCACGAAAATTATAGCGGACCGCGCCGGCGTGTCGAAGGGCTACGGCTTCGTCACCTTCGAGACGGAGGAGGAGGCCAAGCGGCTTCAGCAAGAGGTTCGTAATCCGACGATTGGCGTTTCCCTCGGGCGGAACAATCGACCCCCTTACCGAAACCGTCGGGCCTTGATCCCTTTTATTCATTGCTCCTCCGCTTCTGTTTGTGCCAGACTGAGTGCATCGTCTTGAGAGAGAGGAAGCTGAACATAGCGCCCGCGATCAAGAAGCAGCCCTTCTCCAGATCCTTTGAGGGTAGTACCGGTTCGCCTCCTTCCGTGCCTACAAGTACTTACTACTACACGAACGGTATGTGACTCTCCTCCTCGATTATGGATTTCCGAGCCGCTCGAGTCCGCACCACCGTGGTCCAAATCGAGATTGTTACCTGCTCTCTAAAAGTCATGAGTGGATTATCACTGAAGCAGCGAATAATCACAGTTATAAGTGTACCACTGAGATTTTCAGTCGTATAAATCACGTAAATAAGAGTTTTCTTTTTAATTTTACCATACATTTTACTAGTACAGCCTATGATAAAATGTTAAAAAAAACTCATAAAGTTCTTCAAAATGCCAAATGTTATCTCACGATTACATGACTTTCAGGGTAAATTTTTCAGAGAAAATTCTCTCTCCGCGTATAACTGTGAGGTAGCGTCTATTCACTGTTTTCAGTGATAATCCACTGATTGACTCTCAGAGAGTGAGTTTTCATTCTCCAATGAACGCAGTGTCATGCTGTGCCGCGTTATCTTGTGTTTGCGATTTAGATATTTTTTAATTTTATATTTCTTACAGTGGAATACTCTTCCGCTTACTCTCTAAAAGTCAATCAGTGTATTATCACTGACTTATTTTTATTTTTATGACTAACTGTGAATCAGTGAATACTCACTTTCATTGATAATCCACCGATTGACTTTTAGAGAGTAAGATTTATTCTTTTCGCGCCCATAATGTGCGAGCATATTTTTGTAATAACTCGCGTCAAAAGAACGGAACTTGATGATATTGAGAAAAGATTTCTAAGAGAATTTTATAAAAGTTGCATACTTTGTATAGAAATGTTCGCACACAGCTGTGTGATTGATAAATTTGCGTGAGGCTCACGTTTTACCGCAATGAGCAGGAGATTTGGAGACACTTTACACGTATGCTTTTGACGCGAGACTGAGTTTCAGGGGAACAACTGAAGAATGCATAGATCAACGTCTTTAATTTCTCTCCTCCTTCGCTTGTAGGTATAGGTCTCACTTATCAGAATGGTATGACATTCTATAACACGGCAGCTGCCGCACCAGCGACTTCTATCGCTCCGCCGACGGATCCAGGAACGATTTATCAAGCCACAGGAGTGTTTGGTAAGCATTACTCGCCGCATATGCATTCTTACAGTCTGGAAATTGTCGCGGCAAAACCCAATCCTTATATTTAAGCGAAACATTTGGAAGGTAAAATCGAATTTTCTCGTCAGAAGAATCCCTTCCGCGAATTTTCATGCAAGATTCGGCCGCACAGGGGCTCGATTCTTGAATTTATTCAAGAGAAAAACGTATGCGAAAATTTCTGCTCTTAGAGAAAAGTCGCAAGTTGATTGGCTACTCGCATGGCTTTTGGCCAATTAACTTGCAACTTTTCTGTAAGGGCAGAATTTTCGCGTATGCATCTCTTTCGAATGAACTCGAGACTCGACCCCCTGGTCATCTTGCAACAGTCTGCGATTGAAATTTGATTAATTGTTGATCTTAATCTTCGTTATTTCGTTATTGAACGAAGCGTTTGTATCGTCCTTTTAATTTGCAACTTACTAATCTCTTCCCTTAAGGGATTACAACACTGTAGAACCCTCCAAGAAAGTCAATTTTCGGTGATTTTTTTCAGGAATATAATAAACGTAAAGGAAAATCTGTTTATTCCTATTTAGACTTCAATGTATAGAGAATAAATAGGAATAAACAGATTTTCATTTACGTTTATTATATTCCTGAAAAAAATCACCGAAAATTGGCTTTTTTAAATGAACTCTAGAGTGTTCTAACTACTTAAATTCCGTGTTCAGGGCCTCAAGCCGCCACCGGACATCAAACGTTCGCTCCTATGATGTATCCATGTCCGGCACCATCGCTGTATATGCCACAGCAATACCAGTATTCTCCTATGCCGGTACGTAAAATAAATGTAGATTGCTTACCAAACCGTATTTTTTTTTTCATTACTTCTACGTCGTCTTCGACTCTCCGTTTAGATGCTCGTGGGTTTTCCCTCACACGTACATATAGATCCTAGCATAAGATCCTGACCGTCTTTGTCTGTATTTTGTATTTTTATTAAACGGCGCATATCGGTTACGGTTTGACAGACAAACGGTCTGATGGGAGAAGCCATACCACCGGCGTTTCTACCCAACCCTCAGCAAATGCCTACTTACGTCCTTCTCGACGCTATACAGTATTGAGGTCTAAAGGTATAAGGTCTAAGCTAAACGACTAGCATGCCGCTCTTTTTTTGAGCATTTTACTTTTTTTTCCTCACCGTCCTCTTTTTCCCGGCCTCTTGGTGCACGGCCTGTCGATGCATGTTTCTTCACCGCCTTTTCCGTCTCACGACCTGTACCTTGTACTCACCGGTGTCGCTCGTGCTAATCTTTGACAGCTCACAATTTTGCCGTCACCGCAGTGTTAAATTTAATCGAGGTCTAAATATAAAATGAAAATTGAGAGCACACATTGGGAAATGCGTGTGAGTGTATAACAAGAAGAAATTAAATGACATACGTGGAGTTATCGACAGTTATACAGGGTGTCTCATTTTAAGTGATCCACGCTTTATCTCCAAAAGTATGAAAGATACGGAAAAACGTTTCAAACAAACGTTGTTTGAAGAGGGGTGTTTTTTGTGTATGTAAATTTTGTGTTACAGTACACAAAAATTTTCAATAATTGAAACACTATTGCAACAGCACATTCCTGAGACCATATTAAGTGAAAAAGTCCTGTACTACTTTTCCCTTCGACAAACAGTTTTTCCGTATCTTTCATATTTTTGGAGATATTTGCGCGTATCATTTAAAATGAGACACCCTGTATATAAATTTGATAGATCAGCTGATGTAATAGAAGATAAAGGAGATAAAGGTGGGACGGTGAGTGTGTAAATCACGATGTGATTCTAAAAATCACAGTTGCAACGATACCGATAACTGGATAACGATGTTTTTAATCATCATAATGCTGAACGCGTAGTCCTCATCCTTGTAATCATTTGAGATAAAAAGTTGCAACAGAAAAAGAAGATAAATAGACTGTCGATACATTTCAATAACGCTTAATGTTTTAGATCTGTCCCATGCGGCCTCTCTATAATTCCTTGTCTCTCTCTCTTCTTTATTTCTTTTTCTTTTATGTCTCTCTCAACTTTTGTCCTCCTACTTTTATCTCTCTTTCAGCTTTAATTTTTATTATAACTCTTGTTATAATGTATTGTGATTAAATGTTATGATAGACATGTCAAGGTGCTTGCCATTTGTTCAGTATGGTTGTCTGTCTTAATTCTCGCATTGTAGTTCGTTTCACTTTCTAGAACGACACGAGTTGCACTTAAGCCACGAATCCGAATCACACGCGATCATTTCGCATGCGGGACGCGTTATGGAAACGACATTATGTATTGATACCTTAACAGATAATTTCTCTCGTGCCAAAAGACTACGCTTAGAAGAATAGCCGGAAATTATCCTCTGTAGATTATTGACAATGGAATCACTACAGGCATGCGTATGCAATATGGGTTAGAATGATCTCTTCTTTTCTTTTTATATGTATAATATGTATGAGATGCAATTATAGTGAAATAAGGTAGTAAGATTGTTTACTTTGCGTGGATGTTGCTAAAACGCCAGTAATTACACGACGCGATGATTAACGCTTCAGTGTACCCAATTGCCCGACTTGTTTCTTACGCACACTGCGACCTTTTCTAACTTGAATTCACGTAGGAAATGACGGGTCGCTATTTGACACGGAAACAATACACGGATTGAGATATCTTTTAATCATCTTCGCTTGATCTTCATATAGTTACGTCTATTGACCTGTTACTTCCATCACAATAAGGCTGTTGCTGTAAATGTTAATTAATTACGGTGCAACCAATGTGCTTTCTATTTCTTCAAATCGAAATAGAAAAACGCATCAGAGTGACAAACCCGCGTTACATTTGCATACGAATGAGGAACTTATTTTTCGCTTAGCACACATCTCTATTCGTCATCCGTACGATGTAACATAGCTCGCGCGAAAGATGAATTCGTGAATTGATGCGAATGCTACATATCGTCTGGCTTTATGTATGTATAATAAACAAATAATAACTCGAAGCATATAGCTGAAGCACATCTCTTTGCTTGTCGACGCATTAAAAAAAAAGAAAAAGACAGTGCGCGTAAAGCTTCCTCCTCGCGGATCAAGGAATGTGAGATTCACTTGAAAGGAAACGACTAACATTTACAGGAATGGTTGTCATGGATGTGAATATTTGCGCGAAATACTCGGCATTCATGTGCAAATCGCGGCCCACGGATGACGGACGTCTAAAGGTATCTCCGTTTCTGTCCACAGTACGAACCGTATTACGCAGGAGCGGCCGCCGGGGCGCCTCAGTACTTGTACGCTACCACCGGCGGTTCGCCGAGCAACTCGAATGGTGGTGGAGGTGGCAACAGTTCCGGCAGCAGCGGCAATAACGGTACAGGAGCTACCAGCCCGCCGACGGGCCCACCGCCACCTCTCCCACCACCGCATCCGACGCACTTCTACGCTCCTGCCGCGCCGGCTCCGCATCATCATCCACCTGTACCAACGGGCCCTCCTCCCCAGGCGCAGGTGGACCATCTCTACTATCCTTTTGCAGCCGGCCCGCATCCCGCGCCGCCGCCGCACGCGCCCATGGGACTGACCGAGCAGCAGCAGCTGTTGCTGTACGCCACGGACGCCACTTCGTGCCAGCAAACTTCCGCGTCTGACGGCCAGGCTGTTCCGCAAGAGGTAAGTCGCTCTCTCAGCTCCTGGCTGCCGTCGGTACCTATACCTTCTCGACTTGTGCGCGATTCGTTTTCGTCATGTCGAACGTGATGTCTTTGACGCCGCTACCGAATTCCACGGGAATAGAGCTGCTCAGCTGATCGAGTCTCAGTCGTCCTCATTTGTAAAACAGTAGTGCATGCGTTATTTAACGGGATGAAGATTTTCTTAATTGCTACGGGCAGAGACTAGGATCGTACAAGAAAGGATCGCCGTGAACGCACGTTTCTACTAGGCAATAAATTGAGTTGAGGCAGGTATTATTCTGTGAAATAAAACCGTAGGATTCACGTCCGACGCCAAGCCACTCGGAGCAGCCGCACAGCGACGTGCAACAGGCCGCTTCAGGCTCACCGGCAACATCTCTGCTGCCCCTAATGCCCGTCAAATTCCCCATGTCCGGTCGTTACCACGCAAATTATCATCCGATCGCGATACACACGCCGCACGGCGCGCAAAACGACAGCGAGGACTGCGCGGCCAGTCCGATGCACTGTCGCATCCTCTATCACCCGACCGTGTACATTCCGCACGCACACCCGCCGCCGCCGCCGTACACACATCACAACGCGTCCGGCACCGCTAGTCTCCTGCCGACGCCGTTCTCGGCCTCGCCGCATCAGTCCGGCTACGACAACGGCAACGCGAAGACGTACGGCCACAATTCCAGGGACTGCAACAAGTACACGGGCGGTCAGGGTAACGGTTTGCGCGGCCAGGGGGGTCAGAATCACGGCTACCCGCTGGCGCATCACAGCGCGCACGCCAAGTCGCAGAACACATACGGCGGCTCGCAGTCACACAACAGCAAGTGCGGCGGAAACGCGACGGCGGCGGACGGGTCGCACAAGTATCCGACGATAGCGGTGTCGTCGCGATTGCCGGTGCAGTACAATAGGAGAGCGGCTGGATCGAACGTGGGCTCGTCGGCGATCCTCAGGTCCGGCGGCGGTTACTCGAGTCAGGCTGCGCACAAGGTCAATCACAATGCGGCGTCCAACTATTCGTACGCGACGAACGGGCGCGCGAGGCACTACGGCGACGATCAGTATTACGAGATGAACAAACCGTCGATGGCCGGTGGTTACGGCTCGGGTCGTAAGAACTGCCTCTCGAGTAACAATAATAACAACAACTATAGAGGAAGCGCTGCGCGGTTGGACGTGCACGGCAACGACAGCAACGGTCGGCCTAACAACGACACGGCTCAGGCGGACAGCGTCGTCGTCGTCACGAGCGCATCGACGACGCTGTCCTCTCGCCTGTCCCCATCCGAGCGGATAAACGCGGACACGTCCAGCACCCAGGAGAAGTCGGCGAGCCCACCGCCAGCCCCGTACTCACCCATGACACGGCCTCTTCCAAATTTCTCCCCGCCCACTCCCCAGGTCCAGTTTTACGCTCCGGCCCAGAACCGTTATCAGCCATCCTCCGCGCCTCTGTCCCAAACGCAACAGCAGCAGCAGCAGCAGCAACAGCAGCAGCAGCAGCAGCAGCCCACCGGCAATCAACGCAGCCGGTTCTCCGTCGGCCAGGCATTAGCGTCCGCCAACCGGAAGCCGTCCGACAAGTATTCAAACACCACCGGCTCGCAGACGACGATGCTGCGGCAGTCCAAGTATAAGGTGAACGGTATAATGCAGACCGCGGCCACGACGGTGACGAGCAAGCTCGCCGACGACGCTCTGGGAGGCGCCGGCGATGGTCCCGGCAGGCTACCGATCACGCCACCCGGTACGCCGCGGGCGGCCGGCCATCCGGCGGCCGGCGATCAGAATCAGTTGAGCGACACGTGCCATCAGATGCAGGCGCTGACTCTGTAGACTCTTCCTACTCTCCTTTCTTCGTTCTCTTTGCCCTCTTTGTTGTCTTCTTGATAAGAGTAAATATTTATCCTGTAAGAGTCGAGAGGAGACCACGCGCGACCTAAGACGACGGCTGCAAACTGTGAAAAATAAAACAGTGCGGAAATCAAGACACGCAACATTCACGTATACACATACACGCCCAATCTATATATATATATATGTACACGTATACATACATGCTACGGTATAACTTCTCTGGTGATCTCAGACTCGATATGCTAAAGACATTATATAGAAGCGAAATCTTTCCCAGTTTGATCGCCATGGTTCGCTGACCGCTCGAGGATCCTAATGAAGGATCGTCGTACGCGCAAAGTACGATATATTATTAATTATACGTGCGGAGGGAAACGAAGAGGCAGGTATACCTAGAAACGCTAACTCTTCTAGATAGATTTGCCTCTTTCTGTACTGTAGCAGAGAGTTAACAAAGATAAAACTTTTATCTTAACGTATACACGCAGACCACACACACACACACACACACGCATATATATATATATTATAGGTACGATACGTCATTTACATATATATATCTACGTTATATAATATACATATATATATACACATATTATATATCTATTACAGTATATCCGATGTTATATGCGTGATAGGCTCGACAAACCATGAATCTCGCGAGCAAGGCTAGATTAGTTAGCAAAAGATAGAATCGAGAGAAAAAAAAGGGGAGAAAATAACGTTGTTATCGTACAAAGACGATGTGTTGTCATGTGTTCAAAAATAAAAAAAAAAGATGACGCTGAAAAACAAAGCAGAAGGGTAACAGGGAGGCGAGATAGGGTTGATTTCATAAACGGTTGCTCAAGGCACTGCCACATCTCCATGATTTTTCGTTTTCCATTCCCCCACGGGGGTATCCGTACTTATAGTTTCTCTCTCTCGTTAGAGTAACCGTGAATCTATATTTCATCGCGCGTTTCGAGCGTAGAGCGGACTGAACAACTGGATTCCGTTATGCCTTTCGTTGACAAATTTCCGCGCTAAACGTTGTACATGTTGTAGCTGTTAAATATCGTGGAAAAAAAAATAATAACCGAGACCCGAGTACGAAAGATGAGACGCCCCGTATACCCAAGTGAAAATAAGATAAGATATTAAAAGAGGAGAGAAATAATAATAATGAATTAAAAAAAATGTGTCGGCTGTGAGCTTCCAAGCAAATAACAATAATTAAATTATTATAATATTAAAGGTTAAATAATATTCTACCTAATTGTTACGATGGTGGATTTCTTTTACCTGTAAATGTGAAACAAATTTGTTATCTCGTATCTCGCATACCGTAGCTATGATTGTCCATTCGGGAGAGAAAGAGAGAGAGAGAGAGAAAGAGAGTGAAAGAGCGAGAGAAAGAAAGAAAGAAAGAGAAACGATAAGTGAGAAAGGCAGGTAAGATTCGTAGCGCCGTCATGTGAATGCTGTGGCGCGTATTACCTGAAGACTTTGGCGACACCCGAACGGGTCGTGTCGGTACGTAGCTAGATACGAACGCGACAGACAAGGCCTAGGAGAAGGCGTAGAGATAATATCCGAGAGTGAGTTGTTATAACACAAGGAGATTAATTTATTGAAGAAGAAAAAAAAGAGAAGAAAAGCAAGAGTGCCTTCTATTTGTTTTCGTGATTGTATTGTTGAACATTTGTTGCGTTACGTTCTCCGAGAGCCTCTAATGTTGTTATAAGAAAAAAAAAGAGATGTTTGAAGAATGTTGTTCCTCTATTTATTTATTGATTTATGGGCACGTGTGATGCTAGTGCGCCCAAAACTGTAGCCCCCCCCCCCCCCCCAGCGAATTCGGAAGTGTGAGAGTATGTTGATGCTGTTGTAAAAGCGTTGTGATCCAGCGAAAGTACTATGTAACGAGAGAGCGAACTGTTGAAATGCAGAGCGAACGGAGTCGTGTCACGTCATGTCGATAAGAGAGAAAAAGAGACGTTACGAAGGAGGAACGGGTGAAGAAGTGTTGCGAATGCCAGTTGTGTGAATGAGTGTCGTAAGCAGAGGGAGGGAAAATAGAGTGAGAGAGAGAGTGAGAGAAAGAGAGAGAATGCAGCTTATTATGGCACCTAGTACTATACATAGGCGGAACATGAGAGAGAGAGAGAGAGAATATCCTCACACATGTAGTGATATGTGTATGTGTACATATCCATTGTGTGGGTGCCGTACGTTTACACATACGTAGGCACACGCACGTACGCGTGTATCGATATGTGCATATGCACATTATATATTGTGTATATATATGAATATATGCAATATATAATGCCGGAGCGAGATGAGACAACATATACCGAAGAATATATCTAGAATGTAACTGCGAAAGAGATACGCGTTATTTAGTCGTGTGTATTTGTGCTGGCGCGCGAATTTGGATAGGTGGCTGTGATTTATTGCGTGCAAGTACAGATTTATATGTGAGCAGTGTGGCTCGTGTATCTACTCACACAGGCACACGCATATTTCATATATATGTATACACATATACATATATATGAAATACGCGTATCTATTTAAGAGAAAGAGCGCTAGATTATTAAAAAAAAAAAAGTGCAATTCTATGTTGACTTTGGTACAACAAAGCTAACAAAAATCGAACGAATATTGTTAGATTAAAACGAGTATTACAAACCTGTGTGTACTAAATTGAACGTAGAATGGTGCTGTACTTGATTGGAGAAAATATATATTACACAAGATATATTATAGTTTTAATCTAAAGAGGATTAAAAGAAAACACAGAGGAGTCTAAGATAGACACCAGAGCTATGTGTAGTAAAGAGTATAGGATCTACGAATGTATCATACGCAACAAAGAGTGCAATTCGGATCGTGGAATCTCGTCCTGGCTCGTCCGGGCCGCATCCGCCGAACATCGACGTTGCGGCGGGCGAGATTTGAGAGAAACGCGAGCTTTCGAGACAATCCGTTACTAATTTATTTATTTTTTGAGAAGAGGGCTACGTTGCCCCGTGATACGAACACCGGCGACTTAGTACGGGGTATTATTAACGTGTGACAGTCTCTTTCCCGCAAGAGTCGACGGCGAAATTATTTGCACACTGGATACATCGGACGGTAACGAGTGTTTGTTACGTTTATTTACTGTGGACACAAATTCAAAATGCTTGTGGCTTGATGTAGCGATGCCGAATTATTTTCCTAAATTCGCACCGTCGCCAAATACATTGATGCGCAATGTATCCATCGTGGAATTATAATTTGATATACCTTCGTGTAGATAAGTGGAATCGGTAGTACGCCAGGAAAAAGCATAGAGAGGGGCGCGTTCCACGATCCACGTGTGCCGGTGAGACAAATTTATGTACTAATAAACATAAATTATACACAAAATGGCATACAGGTTATATATAATATATATCACAAAAATTATATAAGATTTAAGTACTCTATGGTAATAAAAGAAATATGTTACGCATAAAGAAAAAGAGATGCAAATATCTAAAAAGAGATGTTAATAATAATAAAAGACAAACATCTGTGCATAAAGATCATAGAGAAACAAAAAAAAACCATTAGTAAAGGGACGATATAGAGTGAATCTGCTGTAAATTTCTTCTGCAATTATATGATAATAACAAATATTAATGTGTACATATATACATCTGGTGTGTGTATGTGTGTGTGAGACTATGTATGTACACACACCATATGTCTACAGGTTGTATAATCGCGGACTTCGTTCTCGGTTACAGTTTTTCTCACGAATCCGAAAATTGGCTTTTTCCAAATGGCAATAATATTCCAACCATGATTCCGAAGACAAACATTTAATTGTGATTTTCGGGCAAACGAAGGCTCCGCAAACTCTTTTGTTTTTTATGTAATTTCAAGCAGCTCTAACGCAATAACGGAGACAAGTGAATATCGAACATTTAAGGTAATTGTGAAAACAGATGGTAAAGACAGTCGCATGCACGTAATATCGGATATCTTTTGCCAAGAGAAGAAAACTTGGAATTCTTGAAAAAGTCTGTAACTGGAAAGAAGTGCGGTAGAGCTTGAGCCACCGTGTATAACTATTAATAACAACAATCACAATAGTAATATAACAGTATATATTAATAGCAACTCTCATTGGAATAGCGAAACACGTAAAAGCTCGATCATAGACTGGTGTCATTCGGTAAGTGCAGACTAAGGATGCAGTCTACGTGTCTGCATGTGTAGTGAAACCATCGGACGGGCAGAGAACGGTCGGCAGAAAGCAAGTGTTACTCTTTGGCCATAAATAACAAACTGTATTTTTATTGATACTATAATACAGAGATCATATAAGTCTCTCCACGATGTAATGTCTTACCCATGCGAGAAGGCTCGGGAACCAATTACATCGCACAGTGCCAGGGATTTGTCTTTCCTTTCTCGATTAGTATCGAGGGATCCTTCTTAACAGATACGTTATGAGAAGAAATGGCACGCTTCCTCGCCGATATACCGATATTGTCATTAACAATCCTACTCCCCGAAATCTAAAATCTATCACTAAGTAAGTGCGATCGAAGCGGTATTTCCTGTCGACGACAGACTACACACGTTTAAATACTTTACGATATATCGAATACTTTACTAGAATCACAATGATAATCACATCTGCAGGAAAATTACCTCGGACGCGTCCAACTTACATCTATTATCAATTCGTCGACGTTATTCCGTAACGTACTGAGAAAATGCTTCGGTTATGGCAGTGACGGCAATTCTAGTGCATCAATCTTACAACTGTTAAAGATCAGTCGCGTATAAATGATCGCTGACAAGCGTTTTCTTTTCGCGTCAAATTGTAAAAAGGATCAAAATATGGACGATAGTATAATTCCCTTAGTCTGCTAACAGGTAAAGTGTCAAAAAATTATGGTAAATATATCGAAAAAGTGACCCAGTCCGATGGCGAAACTTCCATCGTTGTATGACTCCACCTGATATTAATTGGTTCTTTAACCCTTTTTTTTTTATTAATAAGGAGCTTTTCAATAAATAATGAACGAAAACCTTTCGAATGTTATTCAGGGGGATGACCTTGATAATATATGTCGGCCCGTCGGCGCTGGGTCTTCTTTTCGGTATAATTATCAAAATTGTTTTTCGTTGAAGTAATGGCATAGCAAATGTCGGTTTCGAATACATGAGATGTGAATAGTAGTAGCGGAATGGAAAAACCGTATATGCATAAAAAAAAGGCTCTATAATACCGTGTATATAGCGGTACTTAAATCGCTACACAGTTAATCACAACGATACTTGATTTAACGTTTCTCTTGTTACTCCCGAAGAGTTTCAACAGTGAAAATTGCATAAGCTCCCATATAGTTTACAACTCGGTCGTCATATGAGACGTTAAGGCTTGGACACGGGTGGCGTTGCAGCTTTTGCACAAAATGTGATCGTCCAGGGGGTAGCAGCCGTGTCCCTCCGAGTCGGATGACAATACCAATCCGCAATCCTCGCACTTGTAGCACTGAATGTGGAAGCTGCGATCTAGCGCCACCACTCGTATGGTCTCGTCCTGACCGGCCTCGGGCATTATAGGCAATTTACAGACGCAGCAACGCGGAGCGAATTTCCTGCGGGCGTGAAGAATGCGAACTAGCTCCCGGGATCAAGTGATAATTGAGGAAGCGAAAAATATGAAAGGTGATAAACTCACTTGTGGAAACACTGGATGCAGTGTATTTGATTCGTAGCGTCCACGGTGAACGGTATACCGTCCAAGCTCTGTCCACAGACTACGCAAGTGAAGCACGAGGGATGATACGGTTTGCCGGTAGCTCTCAATATTCGGTCCAGTATCGGTCTCGTGCAAACGCAGCACTTTTCCAGAGTATTGAGATAGTCCTCCTCGCAGTAAGGCTTGCCTTCCAGCGAGTAGAAGGGTTTCCCCTGTAGATTGACCTTGCACACGAAGCAGCAGAAGCAACTTATATGAAATACTTTGTCCATCGCCGAGCATCCGGTTCCTTCTCCCTCGACCTTGCGCCCGCATTGCGCGCAGATACCGTATATATCGCTGTCCTCGTTATTATCTTCCATCCCTTGAACCAACAGATCCGTGAGAACGTCGACCTGTGGATAAAATCAGTCGCTTAATCATAGACGCACGTGTTATTTGACTTTGTGTCAGATTATTCTACAGTTGTCGATCGACGAAATTGATCTTTAAATAAAATCAATTACAACCCTGTCTCTTACTACAGATAAATGAAATAATTTGCACGGGGCGTAACACGCGTAACGTTTTCATCCTCTCTATGCGTGAAGAATGTTTCCCGAAAGTCTGTACCTTTTAGTTACATCCTGTATAATTACTTCGGCTGCGATGATCGAGGTAAGCACGCGAGTGTCGCTTCTACTCATACCTTACAGCTCAACAAACTAAAGTATTTCGATAAATTTGGTCACGCGGTGCAGGTGCTCACTTCTTTAACGGGAGACACCTTGCCCTGCGGTTGAGTGGACGCGGCCGACCCGTAGCCGGAGTACATGGAGTAGTTGCACGACAATTGTGACGGCGGTCTGGGATTAATCGGCTCGTATATGGACTCGTACGTCGAGCTGGACTGAGAGCTCGGGCCGTAGATATCGGCGGGGTAGTTGCCCGATGGGAAATCGGTCTGGTATGTGGCGCGTCGCAGCTCGCTGTAGCTCGACGAGACCGGACTCGGTGGCGGGGGCAGCTCGTCGGGCGGCGGTGGAAACGAATTCCCGGGTACGCAGGCGACGTACTCGGACGGCTCCGGCGGCGGCGGCAAGTCGTCTGCAAACGGAAAGGTCAGTGAACCGTCGATCCAAAGGCTCGGACACACGGAGAGAATTTTCTCTTAAAATCGTGCAATCGTGGGACATGGCATTTTCAACAACTTGTATGAGTTTTCTGAAATTCTACCATACATACTAGTGAAATTTTGTCATATATCGGATCAAGATTGTCCGCGTCATTTTTTATCGCTGGTCAAATCTGGAATTTCATTGAACAAAATTTCAATGCGACGCTATGAAATTTCAGATTTGACCGATCACAGGCACAGGGTCATTTTCATCTTCTCGCGAAAGCAGCCCTGTGTACGCTCTCAAAGAGATTCAAACGCCGAATTTTCAATCGGTAACGGCATGGCTGTTTCAGAGTCCACTCGCCAGGGCCGCCTTGCAGCAAGATCCTTACCAGCCCCGTGCGCGGCAGGAACGTTGCAGTACGTGTTCTCCGTTTTGGGGTTCCACTGGATGTTACTGTATATAATCTCCTTGTCCATCTCGTACGGGTACTCGTACGCGGAGACCACCGTGGGTACTGGCGGCTCCACGTTGCTGTACACCGCATTTCTGGCCGCCCTGTTGGCGCGATCGTCCGCCACGGGCACCTGGGGCGCCGGCATGTTCCCGATGTTGGAGTAATAGTTCTTCTCGTCGTACCGGTACTTCGGCTCGAACTTGTCGTCCGGCTGACGCGCGTACAGAGCGTCGTTGTTCTGATAGAGCTTCGACGCCTCCTTGCCGTTCGCCGGCACCATTTGCGAGAAGTCATTCTTTATGTCCAGCGGAACGTACGGCGAGGGAGCGTTCATGTACAGGTTCGAGGTCTTGTCGCTCGACGCCGTGTTGTTGAGGACCGTGCTGTACGACGGCACAGGCGGGGCCTTTATGGTGTAACTTTGCGGTATCTGGAACAGACGCGGGTCCATTAAGGCTTAACCGTCAACGATCCCCGATCGATGGAGTGCTACTGAATGTATATCTCGTTACCGTTGTTGCATCCGTATTCGGGGATGCGTGCAAACGGGGGGGGCGGGAGGAAACACACTGCGTTAGCGTACATGACAGAGATAGAGAAGCTCGATCTAACAGCGAGGAGCTTGGGACTCACCTGGGGCTGCGATTTCTTCGGCTTCGGCGGCACCGCGGGCCCGACCTTCTTGCCGGGCTTGACAGCGCCCTTGGCCGCCTCGTCGCCGATCTGCAGACTCGCGATCTGCTGCTCCAGATTGCCCACGTTCGACATCCTTCTGCGAGACAACGGCGAGGTTAAGTTAGGCCAGGGGGGGGGCGGCCCGGCGGGGTTTGTCTCAATCTTACCTGACGCGAGCCACCGACTACCGGGGAGGTTCAAGCACGAGTCGCGGCGTCTCCGGCGCGGGACGGCTCATAAAAGTCAGGGGGAGCAGGTCCGGGGGCAGCCACTCGGACCCGAGCGAACCACGGCTTTGACAGCAGACGCGTAATGGCAACGACCCCTGCGCTGCGGCGCCTGCACGCGCACTTTCTACACTCGAGAGAGACGAAGAGAAAGAAAGGGAGGGAGGAGCGTGTCCGCTGCAGCCTCTCTGCGTCCTCACAGGAGCAAGAGGAGGTCGGAGTAGGAGAGCGCGGAAGGTGCCACTGAAAGAGGAAAAAAAAAACTGACCCCATGACTCACGAGACGTCGCCGAGGCTGTCACCGTCGCTTCGATCACGCCTTACCTCGCTCGTCGGGGCGTTAGCCGCCGAAGGATATACGCGCGCGACTCGGAAATCTTAAGGATCCTCTCTTCTCCGCTTCGCTCGGCGGGTCCGCTCGCCTCTGCTTTCTCTGCTCGACGATCGGGGCGTGAACGCGTGAATATCACGGGACCCCCCCTCGTTATCGGCGGCGACGCGACGTGACGAGGCGGAATTGTACAACGTCGCGGCCTCACGTTATCACCAGGCACCACACCCTCGCAACACCTGGCCCGCGAGAACGAGCCGGCGACGATTTCCCGGATTCCCGCGGCTCCGCCCACGCGAGAGACGCTCTCGCCGAGCACGATTCTGCGGATGCCGCGCGGCGGACGCGCGACCGTCGATGACTGCGTCGCGGACGTCGCGGTGCCCGCGCCGGTGAGAATCCGGAGCTGCTAGTCTGGACGGGCGGGATAGAGGAGAGCGTCGACGTGAGATGTGCGATGACGCATTCGCGGCCACTGTCATCTTAAGACCTTCGCGACCACTGGGACACGCAACAGTCCCGCTTACGTGCCTTGGCCCTGCGTATTCCGCATCCTCTTTTTTTTTTTTCATCGATAAAACCGCCTGCAAAAGATCTTTCCAGTCAATAAGTATCCTTGAAAAGCAATGTTTGTGGCACTCTTATCGATAAAAGAGCAGATCGAGACCGTTGCCTCTCTTGGTTCCTTGGGATGCTGGATGTGTCCTGTTAAAAAAAAATAATTATTATAAATGGAAGTATAGTCGTGAAAGGATTGAGAAACCGGAATCCCTCCAGGCGTTACGCCCAGTGAGAAAATGATTCGTCGGCTCACTGTCATAACTAATAATCAACCAAAATTTAATCCGGACCTTTTTAAGGTATAACTCAAATACAAACATAAACGCATTTAGGTCCTGGCAAGCTGGAGCCAATTAATATGTAATTTAATTGACTACCTCCAGCTTGCCAGGACCTAAATGCGTTTACGTTTGTATTTGAGTTATAACTAATAATTAAACACACGGAAAAAACAATGTAGCTGCTGTAGCTAAAACTTAGCAAAATAGGGACAGCTAATATTTTAGTTGTGATAGCTCAATATTTTGCTACTGTGCCTATTGTATTAGGTGCGACAGCAAACGGTTTGCTGTCGTAGCAAAATATTGAGCTATCACAACTAAAAATATTAGCTGTCCCTATTTTGCTAAGTTTTAGCTACAGCAGCTACATTGTTCTTTTCGTGCAATATATGGTAACACGCCAATGTGATAACTAATAATGTTCGGAAACACGTTGGGCGCTGAAAAACTCACCACGCGATAACCACTTATCTTTTTTTTCAGTAAAAAGAAGGAAAATTATCTATTTATATTATAATATGTTCGTCGGGCGAGATTAGACTATGTGTGTTCCGAGTATTCCGTCCGAGTTTTCCTCGTTTCCGGGATTACCAGGCTGAATCATGAGTGTCACGAGTTCTCGTTACTTAATGTCGTAAATGTAAATGAACGTGTCGTTCGAATGTCCAAAAGTCAATCATTGTCCACCTCTATGGGCGTAGATTAACTTACCAAATCTCGGTGCAATTTATTTTTATCTCTTTCTAGTTCCAAGAATTTGAGAAGGACAAAAAGTTAAATCAATTAAAGTTAAGCATTGGTAAAAGCGGACGTAAGTAATTTTGACAAGAAATGCCTGCAGTTGTTCGGTGATTATCTCGTCAAGTAACACCTACGTTATTTTGTTAACGCTAAGAGAATTAGTAATGTCTTGCTTAATACATGGAAAGAGAGTCTAAATATTAGAATGAACAGAAGATACGATAATACACTGGTCTCAAATTTTGCGTAAGCACTTCTGTAAGTTTAATTCCTGACTCGCCAGAAGTGTACATAGACAGGCAGAAATGCCTGGACATTTTTATAACGTATTCTATAACTATAGAAATGTCCAGACATTTCCTGCCTGTCTGTTTACGTACAATTTCATGGCAAGAAAACCGTCACGATAAAATCGAACAAGACCTGTTTTCTATTTATCGTTCACCTGTTTTTTCTTTATTCGATCACATTTGCTTGCCGTTATGCAAAAATAGAAAACCTAACGATTGCATAAGCGCTTAATTTAATTAAGGTCATTTGCATCTTGTATTTTATCTTCTTGCGGTAAACAACCGATTGAAAACAACAGCTTGTCGCGCATTATATTATCGCGCATTACATCGTACTTTGTACCATATGTTTCACTTGACGATCGGACGTGATGGATATTATAATTGTTTTCTATTTTCTACACAAAATCGAAGAAGTGGGTTAGCACGCAATCGCATATGTGTGTGTGTGTGTGTGTGTGTGTGTGTGTGTGTGTGTGTCATTATAGCATTACACATTTTATCGTGATTACATCATTCTATTATATTTTATGCTACAAAAAATTTTATATCTTGTATTAATTGTGTAATATTCTCTTATCTTTTAAAATTTTCCTCACCTACACATACAATATTAATTTTGTAGTATTCCCTTACATCATTTTGTTTCCCGGGATAGCTAATCATTGAGACTGTGTCTACCATTTATCTCTACGTGATAACTTAGTTATCGCAATTTTATTATGAATTATTTTAGTTTCGGCGTCGAATAGCGAGATAGTCTGGGAAAATAAATCGACTCCTCTTTAATATCTAATCATGGCACATTAAATGCCGGCAGATATCAATTTACGTGGCAATTGTCAAGTAATACATTATCTTTTTGCGATATCAGACAGAATATGTATATTTTTTTTAGAAAATATCTTTTCTAGACAACACTGCAATTCGATTTTGTGTGTTATCTAGCTGATAAGTTACAGTCGCTATTATCATTTATGGATCCTTCAAGACAATCGAATGGTGTTTTTTTACTGCTCGCAGTAAAATTTCCAGGCAAATTGCATTTTTAAGAGAAAGATATACTCAAAGACGTTTCTCTTAAAATGTTCTGCTCATAATGTAGATACATTTTATTGATTCCCTTTAGGGTTACAAGGCGTTTTTGAAGGAACGTGCCCAAACCTCTTATAACACCTCTCTCTACATCCACTTCTCTATGTGGCGATCGAACGAAAAACCAACAATGTTTTGTTTGGTTTTGAAACCCAGGTCTTCAGATTACCAGACCAGCGCACAATCCTCTGCGCCACGATCGCCACGATTGATCGAAATATATCTATATTATACACAAATTATATAAAGGAAGTCCCTTATGAAATGGAATCTTAATGTAGTGGAATAGCGGAGTTTTTGTTAAATTAATGGGCATCATCAGTTGAATCCACAATGGATTTATTGTCCTTGCAGCGAAATCTATTTAGGGGAAATTTTTTGAGTAACTGTAACTGCAACGCGTTACTTTCCAGAATTGGTAACTTGTAACTGTAACTATTAGTTACATTTTTAGCGAAAAACTGTATATTATATATTATTACTAATGTCGCGAAATGTATAAGATACCGGAACGGTGATGCCTATGCACGCAAATTGCGATACGCGCGTGGAAAATGCTTCTCCGTAATAGGAGAACGACGGGTGGGGTACAAGGGAATTTGTGAGAAGGACGCATTCCGCTTGTCGGCGGCGATAAACCCGGGGATCTCCCAGGATCGTGTCACGGCCTCTTTTCGTGAACCAAGACACGCACGCGGATCTTCTTCGGTCCGTCATAGAATGTGTCTCTTTTGTAATGCCTGCCATCACCCGCGCGCTCAGTGACGTAGCTAGGGCGAACAGGCTCCTCTCATCGTGGATGAACGTTTTTTTTTTCTGAAATGCACACAGCGGAATCAGAAGAGATGTCGGGATAACGTACGCTATAAATATATTACACGCGCACGCATACATATACACATTTATTTGTATGTTCGAGACTCGCCGGATTAAGTTAAAAATCACCATTGAAAGTCATAAGATAATTTCAATTAAAGGTCGATTAACTCTGTCCAAGACTCGATTTAATCGAAATTGAATCGCAGCCAATGTCCATTTTTATCAATACAGATTTAATCTCGGTTTAACGTACTTTTCATCTTTTCCTAGTTCTAAGAATTAATAAAAGATGAAGAATAGTAAAAAATTAATTAATAAATAAAATTCAATTAATCCAATCTACATTGATAGAAATGGACACGAGACACTTGTTCATCGTCCCTGATCTTTCCGCGTATCAAGCAAGAAAAATTATCCGTCTCATCCGTTCTAACAGAACACCGTAGACGTTTCGATAGAATAACCATCGTTAAAGTCAAGCGTTTGGTCGAGGTCGCTCCTCAATTCTTTCGCTTTCGAAACCGAACTCCACGTAGTCGAAGGCTCGTCGACGATTCCACCTGCTCCGGGATCTCGCTTCGCTACGCCCCTGGGCAGCGTCCCCTCCCTTCAACCTGCCACATTACTCGGCCAAGTTCGCGGCGTATGACTGACTCGCCGCATTCAACAGCTGGCCAGTGAGCGACGGACTGGTGGCGTATGATTCCTCGTGGCTCGCGCTTGATGATAAACAACACGCAGCAGGCCGTATCGATGACATTAGCGCAGACGTGATCCTCAGCTCCGAGCTCGTTTTTCCTTTCTCGAGGTGAGTCGTAGCTCCCTGTCCTCCCAGAGCGACCGTATACTTTCGGGGGCAGACACTCGACTACGCGGCGATCCCGGAGTTCCACCAAATTCCGCCGCTCCACCATTGTTCGTTCCTTGCGTTGTAACACTGGTAATGGTGATTAAACGAGGAAGCGCTCAATCGCTCTGCTAATAGAGTTTTTCGTGACGGTGTCGCCGTCTCTGACGATTATCTAATCTTCTCTCTTCCGTTCTCCCATGGCCGAAGGTCCGCTCCTGGTCCAGGCTCCTGGCTCGTCCCCGCTCGACCACTCGAATCTCCAGCTTCGTATGCCGCGGACGGGAAGCCGACTCTGCCGCCCCGTGAGTAGGTGTCCTTCCTTCTGGAGCGCCGCATCGATACGCCATGCACAACAGTTACGACGTGAAGCCCAGCGGCGGCGATGCCACCGTCACGACGGTGCCGCATCAGCGCATGCACGAGTCGGAGGCTGGCAAGGTGGCTGCCACCGAGAACACCTCCCTGGCGCCGAACAACAATCAGACCTACTTCGCCGACGAGAGGGTGCAGGTGCCGGAAACGGGACATGTGAGTGAGCCTTCGTAGCTTCGCACGTGACCGCAACGAGAATATGCGAGGCACAGCGAATTACGAAAGAATGAGATAACGAGAACACGAGTAATAAGAGCGCGCGGGACAGTCACAATGCGTGTATCTCGTCTCCATTTTGCTTCTTAACGCAGACTGTAATCCTCTTTCGCAGACGGGGTTTAGCTTTAGGAAACTATGGGCTTTCACCGGACCGGGCTTCTTAATGTCCATAGCTTATCTCGACCCTGGCAACATAGAGTCGGATCTGCAATCCGGAGTAGTCGCGAGATACAAGGTACGGCCTGCGAAACAAATAGTCGGTTTTAGTTTGACCTTTACTGTCACGCAATTTCTCGAGATTATCTTCTGTGTTTCTTTTGGTAATGATGTGCTCCTTGTTGACGTCTTCGCTTTCAGTTGTTATGGGTACTACTAAGCGCTACTATCCTAGGTCTCGTTATGCAGAGGCTCAGCGCGCGCCTCGGCGTGGTAACCGGTCTACATCTAGCAGAGATGTGTTACAGACAGTACAAAAAAGTACCTAGATTTATTTTATGGATAATGATTGAGATAGCAATTATTGGTAGCGATATGCAAGAGGTAATAGGAACGGCTATTGCCCTTTACCTCTTATCTAACAAAGCGTAAGTGCCCGATACGATTGTTAAATATTTGCCTTTAACACACGCAAGCCTAACGTGCACGAAACATACCTCGGAGTATCGAGGACATTTTAAAGCATCTTACGATTCGCGATTAATACCCTTCGACGTTGGACGCATCGAGAGAATCAATTTCTGACTAAATGCAAAATGTCCGGCGAATGAAAAGTATTTTGTATAACGTATGAAAAACGGGTCGTGATCCGCGCGTTTGCAAATCATATTACAGACATTATGTTACGTTAACGTCTTTTACTTTTCATGCGTTCCTTACGTCTCTTTGATTATGTCATCTTCATCTCGCGTTTCTTTACTTGTGTGAACTTGCAATCCTGAATAATCTAAATAAATGGGAGCGGGTTTGTGATAGAGAGAGTTGCGTTTCAGGATTCCTATATGGAGTGGCGTGCTTATCACGGTCATCGATACGTTCACATTTTTATTCCTGGACAAATACGGACTGAGAAAATTGGAGTTCTTCTTCGGTACCCTCATCATGATCATGGCTGTCACGTTCGGTTATGAGGTACATTAATTCTCTGGAAACACTTCGATCGCGCTGCTCGCACTTACGCTACCAATGCCTTTCGATGTTTCAGTACGTCGTTTCCGCGCCTTCTCAAATAGACGTCATAACAGGTATGTTTGTGCCATGGTACAATGGAATGAGTTACGACAATAAGGTACTGCTTCAGGCTGTAGGAATCGTCGGCGCGGTTATTATGCCGCATAATTTGTACCTTCACAGTGCCTTGGTCAAAGTGAGAATAATAAGCACGATGTAATATGTCACGATTGCGCGCGCCTCCTCAATATGCATGAAATATTTCCTTTTTTTTTCAGTCCAGAGACATTGACCGAAGACAGCCTGCAAAGATCAAAGATGCCAACATGTATTACTTTATTGAGGCCTGCATCGCGCTGTTTGTTTCATTTATAATCAACGTGTTTGTCGTGGCGGTATTTGCACACGGTCTTTTCGATAAAACGAACAACGATGTTGTAAGTACAAGTACAGTCATTCCAATTAATTGTAAGTAACTTCGGGCGAACGGTGGAAGTAAAATGTTCGCTCTATTTCGCAGTATAAAATTTGCGAGGCAAACAATTATACTCTCGGCATGGAGACCTTTGATGTAAGTACTTTTAAGACATTTAACTCTAAGCTCTGGTGTTCTTTAAACGTTCTCACGTATCCTTTCCTCTAAATTCCAGAGAAATGATAATACGACACTGAAAGCTGATCTTTACAAGGGAGGGATCTTCCTCGGCTGTTCCTTCGGTGCAGCTGCAATGTACATATGGGCTGTCGGCATTTTAGCCGCCGGGCAATCGTCCACGATGACTGGCACTTACGCCGGTCAATTCGCGATGGAAGGATTCTTGAACCTGCAGTGGGCACGATGGAAGCGGGTCCTCTTCACTCGAACGATCGCTATAGTTCCTACGTTCTTAGTGGCGTTCTTCGCCGACATGAATAACTTGAGCAACATGAACGATATCTTAAACGCTATAATGAGCTTGCAATTACCGTTCGCCACCCTGCCGACAATCGCCTTCACAAGCAGCGCTCAAATTATGGGTGAATTCCGGAACGGAATGTACGTAGCCTCGCCTTTACCTCTTAATTTTCAATACTTCTAGCTCCCTTCTTTACGTCCCGCACTGTCTGTATTGCAGACTAAACAAGATCGTGTCGACTGCTTTGTCGGTCCTAGTGATAACGATAAACATATACTTCGTAATACAAACTGTCCGAGAAGACCTGCCCCACCACTGGGCCATATACCTAGGCATGTCTATATACGCGATTTTGTATCTTATTTTCTGCGCCTACTTGGCTATCCACATGGCTGTGAGCATGGGTGCAACTTCTCTCGATAACAATTGGGTACGTATACTTGTGCTTACATTTGTAATGCGCGCGTATGCTTTGATATTATATTACGTCTTATAGTCACAGCTATCCGGCATCTTGATAATTATATAGAGATACATTTAAACAAACATTATACCTAGAAATACATTTAAACGAACATTGAAACTTTACAAAACATTTTGGCCCGATTCTGAATCCTCTTTTATGGATAAAAACGCCTCTAAAAGTGGCTAATAAGCCTACTGATTGGCTATAAGCCACTTTTAGAGATGCTTTTATTGCTAAAAGAGGATTCAGAATACGGGCCTTATCTTTTACAAATAAAATATACGACAGTCAATTCTCTCTAGTATTTACTATATTGTTTTCCATTTCAGTTTGTCAACAAGTACATTGGTACGCCCGTAAGTCCGACCCTCGGTATTTCGAATCCTGCCGTTTATGCCAGGTAAGAATTTTAGCGACAATTATTTATCGTATTGTGCAAGTTAATTGTGTGACTAAATCCGATAATTTCGCCAAGCAACGCTAGTCACGTGTTTGTCCTTACGGCGAAATTATTTTTAACCGAGAAATCGTGACAGAAAACTGTAATTTTGCATGTACTACTTACATACGAAATATTTGATGCAACTAAGAATAATCTTGTACGTAAAACTACTTGGTGATGTGGTGTGGTTTGTACATGTGCCTGTTTTGTGTCATATGCTTTGATATCAACTGTACATAATGTAAAAAAAAACCTTCGTAACGAAAATCTTATACGAAAGGAGTTTAGGCTGCAGAATGTGACTATGCAAATAAAGTGCATTTATCTACTGTTGCATTCGCGTTAAGTTTAAGTTACGAACGTATGTTCGTACGAAGCGTGATTGCAACAGACACTCTTAACTCGCATTTAGTTAAAGCTAGAAACGCTTAAAGTTACTTTAGAAGATAACGAATTTAGTGAAATGCATTTATAGACTGCTTGAACACATATTTTTCTGAAATTAACAGTTGAAGGGAAAGTATGGTGATTGTGGGGATGGTTTGAGTTTGTAACATTTGCTTGAAATGTAATTAAAATAAATAATTGTTAGAGATGAATAAATCGATTCATTACGCTTTTCATATCTTTTTGTGTAAAGAGATAACTGACTTCCCGTTGTCTACTAATAATAGAACGCGTTTGAATACTCACACTCCTCTGACTAAACCACACAAGTGAATTATGACTTGTTGCGTCAAATGTACTTTTAACTGTGAGGTATTCTTGTTATTATCCGAGAGCTCCATGCAGTAACAATTTTTGTTAAGAGATAATTTATTAACAAATTTCTAACTAACACTTTTTAAGTAGGTATATCGTATTAACATGTTTACTGTCATTACATTATATGAGCTCAATGCTGTCTCTTTAAGGGTTTTTGAATATAACTCATTAGTTAATGTTGTGCTTCAAATGTGTAAACAGATAATCTTTAAGCAAAGACAAGTGAATAAACTACGAAATAACGTAAGGTCCAGTGTTTTTACGTGATACAGAGTTCTGTTCGTTCATAGCTTTCACAATACATCGGAAACCTCGTTAAACGCTTAGTCGGCGTAGTGCAATTAAATGTGCAGTTGAGACAATATGTGGCCTTTGTCTTTCACAAACACGTGAAAACAATGTCGCGGAAAGGGGCTTGTATCATCTCTCGTGACGTCAGCATGATGCCCGATGGTACGTGTACGATCAACGAACGATATATTTTTATAATAAATAAACAATATGGTGCTTTTTATCACAAAGTTTTGCTCCGTCATCGTTACCGAAGGATAAGTTACTTTGGAACGTCGTTGCTCCTACCCTTCCGCTGTCGTTAATTTTCTCTGTTTCTTCATTGTTTCTCGTCTCTTTCTCTCTAAAAATAAATTCATGTATGACGAGTGATTAACCGAAACTATTTTCGTTGCATGCACATTTTAACAAACACAAGTCTGAAAATGAATTTGAAAGGCTGACTTGTATAACGAAGGTAAGAACGCTACGTCAAAATTCTGCTGTTACACACGATGCACGATTCGACTTAGATGCTTCCAGACGCGGTGAGACGTCTTAAAGTACCTTAAATGTGAAATATATTGCAGAACAAATCCAGCGTTTACTATTCAAGAGAGCGGCAGTTTTTCATCTTTACCAGAATGGTAACATCTTGACGAGTATATGTCATCACTCGGATAGGTAAACGATACGATGGGGACTGAAAAAGTCTATTTTCATTCGAATAATTTAAATAAGAGTTAATGTTTAATGCCTGATGCATCGCATAGACATTCCAGTGATAATATCATGTATTTAAAATTTTTTATCATATATATGAAGGCATGATAATTCAAATGTTAATTTTTGTGCAAAAACAACCGGTATATTAGCAATATTACGTAATCGGCGATCAACCTTTTTCTCATTCAAGTATTTTTTATTATAACGATATAGTTTTTAACATTATTAACACCTTGAAACATCTAGGTTGATTTTGCAAATTATATACGTCCATATATATATTTGGAGATACTGAATTTAGATAAATACATTAAGTTTTGTATCGATCCTCCATCCATAATTACCTAACTACGTACGATGTGCAAAGTAATGTAAATACTGGTTCGAATGAATTAATTTTTATTGGTCTGCATATAAAATAAGTAACGTATCCGCAATTTTTGTTCAACAGCAGCAGATGCGATAAGTTTTTTTTCGCGGATTACATATCACGCTATTGTTAGTAGTATCACAAAAATATTCCTAACAAGACGCACACTTTTCTCTTATTTATAAGTACTCTAAAGTAAGTCGAGACACGCACTTAGTCGCAGAACTAAGTTGTAAGATGGTCAATTTTAAAACAGGAACATGTTCCGTATATTGTAACTTAACCCGCAGATGTATAAAAATTAGAAAAAGATGTATTTTTACAAATGTACCGCATGATGATTTGAATAATTATTACCGCGTCTGTTTGAGATAACCGAGTTTCTGTAAATAAAATTTGTTTACGGGCAGTGTAATGCATTAGCTGTGTGTGTTTCTCTTTCAAAACTGTCATACCGAAGAAGCTCGCGAGAGGTTTAAGCTCGATACATCATGACTAGACAATCACTGTAATATCACATGTATCAGACAATTAACCGTAACAGTAGTTAAGTTGTGCTATTCCATGAAGTTTTGTTTCTCATAAAATTTGGTTGCAAAATTTGTTCATTGTATATCCCGCAGTATTAATTATTGAATATTTACTATATAATACATTTATGCATTTTTAAGTTTGGCGATATAAATCGTTATTACAAATATGCATGTTTTATAAAAGTATCCGATTTCCTTGTCTCTCTCGGTAGTCACAAAATAAAATAATTTTCTAAAATTTTGTCGTCCATATTTTATATTTGAATTTACTATTTCTTAAATTATCGATGTATATTACAAATCGTTATTATCGCGATGGTCGGACTTTGATCTTGCTCAGTTCTAAATAAGTTATTATTGTGTGAGAACAAGCAAACCAAAATTTCCAAAGGAATGTCGCGAATTCAATGCAGATGAAAATACATTGTTTAATAAAAATGAGCTAACGTTGTCATGATGTGATATAATAAACTACATAATTAAATATCACATAATTAAATCGTGTTATTCATTAAAAGAGCTTTTTTATAAAAAATACTTTTAAAATAAAATATACCAATAAAAGTTATTTAATAATTTCAGCAGTCAGATATATATATATATACTATATATCGAACATCTTTGTGTCAAATTTTAAGATTGTGAAAAAATGCCTTGCTTCATTTTATGGCAGGCAGCGATAACTTAACGATTACCCTATATTTTTTAATACTTTTTGCCACGTTAATTATTTTGGTAAAAAAAAAGAAACCCGTTATATGGCATCGTTGTAGCCATTGTACGCTAAACGAAAGTAATACTGTCTATGTTCTCTTGTATGTCGCCAATACATAAAACAGATTATTACTAGAACCAATAAAACTAGCATCAATGTGGACGATGTCAGGATTGCTGAAACAAAATAAAAGATACTAATTAAAACTTGAGATGAGCCATCTAAATAATTATAATTACACATAATGTCATCGATAGCCTTACATGATATAGAAAAAAAAATTACAGATATGTAATGTGATATTTACCGATGACATCGCTAGAACTTATGTCATTCTGAGCTGAGAGAGCAGGAATTGTACATTCCTTCTCCCAATCTTCAGGTACAACGTGTTTCGTTAAATTAATAAATTCATTTAAAGGGCATAACGTAGCGCAACCCGGTAATGTCATAAGTATCGGTTCTTCAGTGGTATTTTTGTAAGAAACCTAACGACAAAGAAAGAACGTGAGTACACCTTACAGAATGAACAAAGTATTTTGTACGAATATTAATTAAAATTCTTACTGTTACAAAAAACTCATTTTTCGAATTCGCCCTTAATTCCATGAGAATCATAGACGTGTAAGGTGGACAATGAGGCTCGAATAAGCCCAGAGTCATAAGCATATTCGCTATGGTCTCATCGTGAGCACTGTACATCCATAGCTTTCTGTCAGGTTGTAAAGTACGTTGCGCTTTCTTGACCATGTGATCTATCATTTCTCCAAGCAGTGGACCTGGCAATAGGTTTTCAAAGTTAAATCAATTACACAACAAACATCTTTGAAAATACATAAAAATAATAATATAGTACAATATTAAATATTAATAAGTATAAAAAACAAAGACTAAAAAGATTATTCAATGGAGACCTCGGGTGACAAAGCGGAGTGTAGGAAGGCCGCAGAGGAGGTGGCTGGACGACGTAAAAAGAATTGTAGGAGTAAAATGGACACGAGCAGCATCAAATGGGGAGACCGGGAGAAATATGGAAAAGGCCTATGTTTAGGAGCGGATGACGACAGGTTGAGAACGAGAGAAAAGAAAAAGACAAAGATTAATTAGACAAGGTGTCCAGTGACGTAGTTATACAAACTTTCTCGCAAGGATTGTAATGTTATATATAGCGGTTGATTTAGTCGATTTTAATAAATCATTAGAGTCTCGAACTTTTGTTACTAAAATAATATAGTAAAAAAATAGAAATTTAAACTAGCACAATATATTAGGTGCAATATTGGGGAATAATGTAAATCTATTCCCAATATTGGCCCACTATTGTAAGATGGACGCCTTCTCTCATTTAGCAATATTGATTTAATATTGTATCAATATTAGACCATCTAACTAAATTATTAATAAATGATTGATGTTACCTGATTTTAACCTTTGAAGTATCGTGTTGTATGTCTCTATCATAAAACTAAGTATAGCAAGAGGCTTCATTTTCTCTGGAAACACCGACTTTGTCCACTGCGGTAGAGTTTTGTTGTACAATTGCTGTAAGATTAAACCGAGGCGAGATTTATCGCGTGCTTACCCAAGCCAACGAGTAAATCGTGATACGCGACAATATAAACAACTGATAACATTCGAATATTTCGACGTACCTCGATGAATAAAACATCGTACAGGTGTTCAACTATTTTAAACGAATCTACATTATTCCCGGTATTCTTGCTCAAGTAGGCATAGAGATTCGCGTTCGCTTTATTTATGCGTTCCATTTCCGGCGATGATAACAGCTTTTCCAGCTCGTAGTTGTATCGCGGGCAGAGTTTGGTCGCGTGCAACACGTAGTCGTACTTTCCCGGGACGGTGTGCACAGGGATTGGCATCCAGTGGTTCATGTCCCAAACCTGGTTCCCCGTCGGCGGATAAAGGCCCGCGAGATTCGCCTCGGCCGACATCAGGGTGCGATCCACGTCTGTACTCTCAACGTAGATATCATACGGCGAGTAAATGTTGCTCAAGAGGTGGGAATAACGTTTCCTCAGCCAGCGTCCAAGAAGCAGGTGTTGATGCTTGCCAATCTACATTCCACAAGTTTAGCATCAGTAAAGTTAGCACGAGGGCAATGAACAAAGTAATCCTTACCCTAGTAGCACAATATATTGGCGCAATATTGGGAAATAATGTAAATCTATTGTAAGTTGGACGCCTTCTCTTATTTAGCCAATACGTCTATTTAGCAATATCGGTTTAATATTGTATCAATATTAGACCAATATTCTTATTGCATTGATAAATGTTGGCCAATGCACTTCCAATATAAATATAATATTATATAATTATTATCGTGCAATATTTGCGAATATTCCGTGGCCAATAACAATGCATTATGCTACTAGGGTAAGATCTATGCTCGCCAATCTACATGTTCGAGACGTCGAGCATCAGTAAAGTCAGCACGAAGACAACGAGAAAAAGTAATCCTTAAAATCTACTTAATATATTCGAACGTGTTGAGTGAAACTTGTCACATCTGCTGCGCCTGATTTACTCGACTTGTTGACGTGATTTATTACTTTTCCATTCTCCTCACGCGAATCTAATGTCAAACGATCGAAGACCGTGTCAGGGTCGATTTCACAATATTATGTTTTACTTTTACAAAAATGTTTACGAGAAACGAATATGCTTATGATAAGATAAGACTACCAGGAAAAATTATGTTAAAGGACAAAGCGCGTTCTCGCGTTACATGATGGCGACCGCTCGCGCCTACGTTTGTCGATCGCAATTGCCCTCCTTACGTTCGTTAATTGTCCATATGGAACCGGCCAGCACGATTCGTCCCTGTAAGGATCGTTCTTGTAAGGTAGAACAGGAGTCCTGTCCCCGTGTCGGTACAACTGTAAACGAGAAACGAGCTTCGTTACGTCTCCGCCACAAGTTTCGCGAGTCGTCATTAGACGCCGAGGCGAGTGATACAAACGCTTCAAAAACTTGATCGTAAATTATGCGTGAGCGGCGTTAAAAAAAAAAAAACTCGCGACACAAGCATAATAACGAGTATTTACGCCAAAGCGTAAAAACCTCTCGCTTTACGACGGGAACGGAAAACAATGTTACGCAACAAAAGGTGTTGAACTTGCAGTTATGTAAATTCAGCTGCGTAATAAAGCAACAAAAACAAAGAAGGAACGAGCGGCAAACTGTCAGAAACGCGTCCGCGCGCCGACGCCGCGCGGAACGGCGAGTCGCGCTTTGTTCGCTTACGACGTTCGCGAAGACGATCGTGCCCAGGTCGAGGTCGCCGGCGTCGGAGCTGCTGACGGCGAGGACGCCCGCGAGCACGAACAGCAGCCCGGTGCCCATGTCCGATCGCGACGATCTCCGCTTGGCGTTTGCTCGCGAGCAGGCGGCGGGTCGCACACGTGCCGATCGCACGTGACCTCGGCTCCCCTAGCGAACCCAGCCTCAGCGAGAGTCCGCACGCCGCGCGCACATTTGCACGACGATTACGACGACAGCGGCGCGTAGTCGAGGGGACGTCGGGCAGGTACGCGAGACCAAGCGCGCGCAACCCCGAGTGCACTCGGCAACAAAAGGATCTCCCCGCCCTCCCCCGGGCGCTCGCCGTCGCCACAGCAGTGCTCTCGGACGAAAGTCGCTGCATCCACCGTGGCCGGTGGTGGGGATATGGCGGGGGGGCGCTCTCAGGTTAACTCGCAGATATGCTCAGCTGACCTGAGTGCACCCCCCACCACATCCCCACCAGCGGCCACGGTGGATGCAGCGGCTTTCGTCTGGGAGCAGAGCGGTCGCCAGGACCGTCGCCCCCACTATCCTGGAGTCTTCCCTCCCTGCTCCGGCCGTCTCTGTCTCGCTCGCTCTCTCTTTTTCTGGCGGTCGACGGCGCAGAATGTTTCGCGTCTCTCTCTCTCTTTCTCTTTGTCTCAGCTTCGCTTTCATTGTTTACTCGCGGTCACGTGGTCAAGTGCAACGGGCGGAGCGCAGGGGAGGGGCAGCGCGAGCGAGGCGCAGTTTACGGCGGGAACAGCTGTTTTAGAATACATAGGGGAGCTCAATTATGCAAACACTGCGTACGTGTGTACGCGTGGCGAGTTGCGTTGCACGACGGGTCCTCGCAGAGTGGAGCGCCGTCGTCCCTCCGGGCACTTGACATTGAAACGTGGCGTCGAGTGAATCATCCGATGACTCGTCGAAGGCACAAACTTGCAAAGACTCGTAAAAAAACTCTTTCAGGCCTGGAGATGCGCAAAAACGCTGAACGCTCTTCATATTGCATTTCGATGCGAATAACGTAGCTTTAATAAACTCGGTCTTTGAGTTTGAGCGCCTCAAGGTGTTGTCTCCTTGTTGGATCCTGGGGGTCAATAATTCTGTATCTTACATACTGAGAAAAAAAGTTATTGAAATGACTAAATGCAGTTAGTCGGCAGTATTTCTTTAGTTCAAATATATATGTGTTTTCAAGTTACCATACAGTAAACCATACAGATGATTTATCGAAACACATTCTTTTTAATTGAATATTTTTGTGAATTAATAAATATTTGCTTGGCAGCCCGTGATCGCCGCACATAGTTGAATCAAGAAATATTTCTTGATCCGACACTTTTTTTCTCAGCGCAATATAGTTGAAAAGTGCTAAAAGTGAGCGGCTTTGTCTCCAAGGGGACGGCTATTCACTTTTAGCAATTTCACTATAGTGCAAGATGTAGAATTGATACCCTGATTTTTCGAAATTATTTCAAAAAAGTATGATTAAATATTGCCTTGGTATCAGCGAGAAAGTTGTGCGGTGAATACAGAATTGTTGCGGAAAAATATCGATCTCACGTTGGCGGAGAAAAATCGCTTAGAGAGAGCGAAAACGTATGCTCAGCAAGTTCCGTTCTTCTCTCGTAACTACCGGAGAGCTGTATTCTACTTATCTTACTGTAGATTTAAGCCTAAGAAAGTATTCCCACTGATTCACTGACTCGTGTACACATAAACGTGACTTGCTACTCATAAAGAGGACTAGTACTTTAGCTACACTTTCTACTTTGTTCTCTTTCTACTTTCTCTCCCCGTGGGAAAAATGTAGCGTCAAGAGGAAGCGGACGCTCTCACTGAAATTGCATGTCGACAATGACGAGCGATACTAGTTGTAAAAGAATTTTACTTAACGCAGCATAGCGATATACTAAAGTTAAATCCTGGTGGACAATACTAAAGTTAAATCCTGGTGGACAATAATTAAAAATTTGTATATTTCCACATTGCACGTATGTACATAAAATTGATCGCAAACGTTCGTTTGGTCTATAAATGCTCCTTTGAAACTAGAATCATCCGTTAAGAGTAATATTTATAATTGTTTTTCACCGCAGTGCCGATAGTGCACACTGTAAAAGTCCCGTTTTCTTTAAAAACCCACGTAATTTACACGTAAAATACATATAACAACTGACTATTGTACACGCTCGCATGTACAAAAGGATTTACTTTCCCTGTATTACAATCTGCAAGATTACAGAACTATATATAATACAATCCACCTTAAAAAACGTTAATATAACTATATCCTTCGTAGTTTTTTTTTTATACAGATTGTCCCGGAAGTCACATACGTCTTTCTTAAAGTACAAACATTTAAAAAGCGGACATGAGGAATCAAGTGATTCTATACATATCTAAATGTATTTTGCATATTCTTAAATATGCGATAAAGCATGATACACCTATATAGCATACGTAAGTGATAGACATTTTATTATAAAACAATACAAATCTGAATATATATAAAAAACGAGAAATATACCTTTTTGCATGTTTCAGGATGACATTTGTATTGTTTCATAAAAATGTGTAAAAAGCAAAATATTAAGCTACTCTTACTTAATAATAACTGCAGATACAAAAAGTGTCTTTCGAACTCCCCCCCCCGAGGATCGATCGATCGATCCGTTACTTAGCGGGGAATCTGCAGACGAGAGAAAGTGCGCGACTTCCGAAACAGGCCGCATATGCAAAAATATACAGAGATTGACCTAGTCCATTTTTTGTATCACAATTCACGTTTACTAATCGCAGATTGCATTAGGACAGCTTCGTTTCTACGAGAGATATAAAACTAAAAACGAAACCTCTGTATGTTTACCACAACTCAACATTAGTAACCCAAGCACTGGAAATAGGTTCTCGGCTGCGTAGGAGTAACAGCCGTGACATCACAGTCTTCGCTGGCGATAACGTTGCATAAAGTTGATCAGCAAGTGAGCGACGAATGGCCATAGGATTAGCAGGACGAACAAACGCGGCGGGCATTCCCGCAACGGCCACCATCTCGCATACAAGTGTCTAGCGGGGTGCTGCTAAAACAGACAGAAGTATTGACGTCGACAAGTCTTTATGCTGATATATCTTATGAATAATATGATTTTGATTAAGATATATTACGTAAAAGATAAGTTGCGGTGACTAAACAAATAATTAAACCAGAAGAATTATTTCTTATTTCAAGGGGATACACGAAACACGACGTTATTCCTCCTATTGAAATCGGATACGTCCGAGTAACAATGGAAGTCGCATTACCGTCTGTGGCGCCAACGCTTGCAGGGCTTGCCCTTCCAAACTTCGTACTCTGGCCGTTACGCGATCCAGATCTCTCTGTAGATGCTGCATAGTTGTCGCGATCTGATTCAGGAATTCCGCATTGGCTTTATTGTCATCCTTCTTCGTTCTCTGTCTACCTCTTTCTCGATGGCTCTCCGTTATCGTTTCCACGTGACCGTTAGCGTTGCTGTATCCATTAGTCAATTCAGTGTTCTCTTTTACGACGTTCTCCGTACTCGAGTGATCAATTCCGTTCTTTGCCGCGGTCTGCACCTTTTGAGGAGCATTGGTAGACTTGACTGCATCCTTTTGCGTCTTTTCCGGCGCTGACTGCAACAGAATCATATTATTCGTAAGATAGAACGATTGACGTGATCCGAAGAAAACCTTAAATGTTAGTGTCCTACTTCGACGGTATCTATAAATTCCTCTTCCTCGCCGTCGGTGTCCTGCGGCAGCGGACTTGCAGTGCGACTGCTGGTCGGGCTGGTTTCCAAACTACTCGTTATGTGCCGAGAAGTATTCATCACTCTGTGAGGTGATGTTTCTCTAGACACTGATGAAGTAAGAAAGTTTTAGACGATGTAGAAAAGCAAATATTTTTCGATGATACATATCGTACTCAATCGAGAACCTTGGAACTCTTATCAGGCTACAATATGATATTATCGCACTGATAATTTTGATAACAGAGAACTTCTTTAAATATCCTAATAAATGTCTGATGTTCCATATGCTTTTCCAATGTCTTCAATTTAGATCTTTGGAAAACATGATTATATAATCAAAGAATAAGAGGAGCTCAGAGCCGGAACAAGGTTGTAATGTCCGATAAAATTACTTTATTTTAATAGCAAATGTATATGTACGTTTCAGTCCTTATTGGACCAGCCTCAGTACGAAAGTAACGAAAAAATAACAAATACAATTTAATACATATACTGATTCGCGAATTAGAAGTATACAGAGATTACGCAGTTAGTGGCGTATGTAAAATTAGAATAAATGAAGAGACGGTGGTACAAAAAGAGCAACAAAAAAACTTTTAAGTAATTTTATCGGACATTACGTCCTTGTTCAGGCTCTGAGCCCCTTCTCTTATTCTTTGATGTTATCATACGAGCCATGGTTAGTTATGATTATATAAATGCGATATTTTAGCCTTGGCATCTAATTCAGAGATTGTTCAGTAGCGCAATTCTCTGATAGTTTTAAATAATATATGTACAGCAGATACTGATTGCACGTCTGAATGGATTTAGAGTAGTTTTATACCATCGTGAGACACAAGTTTTATCTTATTGATGGCTACTGTTAAAACAATCCTGTTTATTGCTATAGTAATCCTGTATGCAAGGATTCGCAAATTTGGGTATTTGGTTTGCCCACTTGGTCGAATAATTGATAGCGCGAATTTATGCCACTAAGGCTGTTTCGTCTAAGGAGATATTGAAATTTAAATATAAAATTACAAGTTGGGCTACCTACATCTTGCCTTGTGACCCACATTGGCGTTTTCTCATATGTTGTTTAGTTTTAGTTAGGGGTCTTACTTAAAGTTTATGATTCTGAAATTTAAATGTTGATAAAAAGTAAAAGGAAATGAACCTAATGGTGAACCAGACAATGGTGATCCTGGTTGGGAGCGCATACGCTCCAGTACTGGTCCCACGAGTAATTCCAAATCCTCAGCCGGCACGCTCTCGTAGAAGGAGTCCAAACTGCCGAGAAACGTTGCCACATTATCCGTGTAGGACATAGTTTCGACGATCTGCAACACAACGACGTTGCATTCATCTTGCGTGTGAATTTTATATCAATCTACGAGGTCGGCGCTTACTTTCTTCAGCTCCTCCACATAATTATTCATGGCTTCCGCCCGACCCATATTGCCGAGACGCGTCCACGCGTCCCACTTCGCTTTCCTGACCACTTCCCAGAACGCGGGTTTAGATTGTTGGCAGGGCCCCTCGGTCGCTTGTTTGTAGTACGAATAGAAGCGTAGCATAGTTTCATGGCTAGGCTGGTACGCTCCTGCAACGATACACATTAACGATATCAACAGACGAAGAAAAAAATAACAATTATTAAGAATTATATTATATTTCCGATTATTATTCACTCTTGCTAGATAATAAAAAATGTTTTAATATATTACAGCATCTAAATATGTTGCGAGAAGATAATTCTAATCGAAATTTATGTGTCACTTCTGATTAAACGAGCATGAAAGAGATATTTTTATCTTGTATCTCCTTGACCCGCGGCTAATACCTTGAAAATATTCTCTTATGACGAAACAGATAATAACATGGTAATTTATACATCGCACGATAGAGATACGTGGCATAGCTTGAAAGGAATATTAAATACTAATAATAAATATTAGACAATACGCTGCAAAAATGCTAATTTCTAATGTATTTCTAACGAAATTTTCATCATCACCGAAATTAGTGTTAATATGAAATAACTGTTGCAGCAATTACTGTGAAAGTCCATTATCTTAGAAGGTAAATATTTCTAACGAAATTTTCATCATCACCGAAATTAGTGTTAATATGAAATAACTGTTGCAGCAATTACTGTGAAAGTCCATTATCTTAGAAGGTAATGCCTCATTAAGGCGCATCTTTCTCGAGACTCAAATGCATATGTCCGTATAAATTTGCAACTCTTCTAGAAAATAAATGTATCGTGTACTTCGCCCTTTACTAATCGCAATGCAATTGCGTGTGTCTACGAGTTTAATCACGATGCAAGTTTATAGTACGAGAACACAGTGAGATTAGCTATTCCAAAGGATTGCATTGTGAGGTAAAAAATTTGAATTTTATCTGATGTATCCTATATGCTTTTTTCCGCTAATAAAGTGACCTGGAAAAAAATAATTAAAGTGCCTGTTACATTTCATAACTGCTGGTGCAACGCAAGTTATTTTTTGTGATCAGTGAAGAGGAACATTCTGGTTTTAACCACCAAGTGTATCTCTCTTGCACACTGTTAGAAAGTAAAGTGGGGAGTAATACAGTCACTTAGCTATACTAGAAGTGACTGGAAAGTGTACTTGTACGTGCAGTATCCAACACGAAGGCGAAATAGTAAAAAAATCCGTATGTATAGATTTGAATGACAACGGCGATTGACAAGGTGTAATATCCTTATTGAAGGTAATCGAGACGTTACTTTCTTGCTTTGCAGATGTTAAAAAGACACCATTTCCCCGATTACTTAACACTGGCTCCTAACAAGACTTCCGTAGAAAAGAAAAACAGCCAAATACCTATTTTTCTTTTTGCAAAAGAATTAAACGCAAGTAGCGAAAAAATTCTATTCGCGACGACGAATTGCCGCGACTCTCCTCGAATACACTTTTCATGCGTACATCACGTATTCGAGCTATGTATTATAATGTTCGAGAAATGCAAATCGCGAAACTGCCACGTTCTTTTTCGACATAAGTATTAAATGTGAAGGCTATTCACGCGGCGACGTAGCGAGTCTCAAAGGTAAAGCTGTCCAGCGAGACGGACAATAACGGCGTACGTGGTGACTTCTTCCGCGCTGGGACTCGGGAAGTAGGAATATTTTTTTATCCTCGCTCTCCTTTGATATCGCTCTCGACACCGCGAGAATGAGAAATGGACTTGAGAACATTCACTTTCCTCGACACGATTAGATCTTGCCAATTTCTCGGCACGGCAGCGCGTAACGGCGTCCGCGTGATCTTCGTGCCTTGTTTCCGCGTGAGAATAAAAGCGGCCGCGATAGAAAGAAAGAGAGACTGCTATATAAAAATCGCCCGTATGAATAAAAGTTTAAAGACCCCGTGTCGCGTGGCTCGTACCGTCGTTGTGCTCGAGTGCGTTGCCAAAATCAAGTTACCTCGCACGGATATATCTCGGCGGGCGTGGATTTATCCGACGCGACTTCCATGCACGCGGGGGAAGGAGAAAAAAAACAAACCGAGCCTCGCGTCCATTTATTATCGCCTCCTCGCCGTTCGATCGGAGCGTGCGAGCAGTTTTTCGCGCGAGGCGACAAATATTGACGGTGGACTTTAGCCAGCGCGCAATAATGCCGCGCGCCCGAAGGAAGAGGAGGCGAGAAAGGAAAAGAAATCAACGGGCGTGGAAGGCAAAAAGCGATTACACTATCGCTGCCGATATCTGCCGTGTGCTCGGGTCTCGCCAGGCGAACGCGACTCGCGTAGCGCGTGAGAGGTGCTGCGCGAGAGGTAAAACGTTTCCGAATAGACCGCGAGCCGAGACACCGTCGGAAATTCACTCCCGTCGCGTGCGCGGCGACTCGCCCGCGATAACGCGGGCCGTGGGATAATCCCACTGGGATTGCCTCACCGTTTTTCGGCAGACTCCTGATGACGTTCACGGCGGCGTTGAACTTTTCCTCCGTCGTCATGTTGCCCGGGCGGACGAGCAACGACTGCGGCTATCCTCTTTACGTGTGTCTCTCTCTCTCTCTCTCTTTCTCTTTTTCCTTTCCCTGGCAGCCTGTCCCTTGCGGGGACGCGACGTGGACGCTCCTCGGCCGCGTGATATTTACCCTCTGGCAATAAAAAGGAGAAATAGAGGAACCGAGGAGGAAAAAATACTCCGGGAGCCGATCGGCGCGGCGCGAGCGTGGCGTACCTGGCCGACGACTGGCGGCTACTAACTAGCTCTATTCACGGCGACTTGTCCACCGCCGAGAACCGGACTGGCCCGCTGCGAGCACCTACGTGGGACTGGCGGAGCCGACTGGCGCGTTTGTTGACGTCCGTCGAGACGCTGATCGTCCAGGCGGATCACGCGCGATGGCCGCGACGACGATGACTGGCTGTACCGACGATGACTGACAGATTGTTGTAGATTATCGTACCGTTTGACGATTGGCGGTCGTCCCGGGGTAGCACGCGCGGGCATGCGCGAGCCCGAGTTGTCCAGGAAGTCTCAATAACCTCCGCGCCAGCTGTGGACTGTTAATACCAATTAATTTCCACCACTCTCTCGATTCACTTGGCGATACCGATCTTCAACTGTACTCACGGTTCCTTCCTCGTCGGATAAAACGCAAATTATACATTCCTCGCGGAGTAATCACGCCAATTTTTGCCGTAATATCGTTCCCATGGACTCCAGCTGGACGCCTAAAAAATCAAATAAAACCACACGATTATTAATTGTCGCGGCTAAACTAAGGAGAAGCTGAAGCCTCACGTTCAGCCGGTTCCCCCATCAAGCGAACATTACGTGGACTATAAATAATTATACCGTTTCGCAGATTAGCTTACATAATTGGTAATTGTCGCAGCTGCTCGGTTGCGAACACTTTCTCGCTACTTACTTTTCATTCTTTTATAAGAAGAAAAATAGGAATTCGGCTGGCTTTTTCTTTCCCTACGAAAGTCTTATCAGGAACTAGTACCGAGTAGAGATCCCTGTAATCAGAGACTGGCTACAAGAGTTCGTCCAAATTCCTGCGAGTAAGAGAGAAACGTAGGCTATCTCGCTTGATCCCGCTCTTCTACCATCGTAGAAACGTAGAGCGAGACGACCCGTGGCTTCTCTCTCATGGCCAGTCGCTGATTACAGGGTCTCTGGTATTTGAGCAATCGGGAATTGTGTCTTTTAATGTCCGTAAAGCGAGAAAATAACTTTGCCATTTAGCACTGCGCTCCAGTTTGCCCTAGTACCACCTAAAGCCACGGAACAAGTGTAAACATTGCACGATACTAATTATGGTTGCGGTCAAGCTGCCGCTGTAAATGCTTCGAAGCGTTTCTCCTCTCTTTCCATCTTTACTGAAGGAAAAGAGAAGAAGAATACTTCGTGACACTCTAAGCGGCAGCTTGACCGCAGCCTATATAATATTAGATCCATATTGGAGGTACATTGGCCAATATTTAACAATGTAATAAGAACACTGGTCCAATGTTGATACAATATTAAACCAATCGTGCGTGCTACATTACGTTTACATTCATGTTATGTAACTGTTACTTTGGCGTTCGGGATTGGCTAAGGGAGCTTTCCAGCAAGCGACACAAGTCGACACAAATGTCGTTCTGTCTTTCTTCAATGAATAATAAAGACAGAACGACACTTGTGTCGACTTGCGTCGCTTGCTGGAAAGCTCCCTAAGTAAAACAAGGCGTCCAT